ACATGATATGCAAAATAGCACTCAAAGAATAGGTGTGAAGAAGTCTCCATCCTATATTGACACCATGCACAGGAACTATCCGAATTAATAAGAACATGTCGCTTAACAAGATTAAATTTTGAGGGGAATCTGTCTAACAATACCCTCCAGACAAAACAAGAGACCTTATGGGGCACCAAACGGCACCAGATAAACCTGTGTAATGGTATTTCAGCGAAGAGAGAATCATTGACAATAACATGATAAGATGACTTGACAGAATACTTGCCATCTGGATCAGCTTTCCATCTCCAAGAATCATGAGTATACTCTTGAACCTAAAAACCACGAAGATCAGAAACTAATAGATCTAACTGTTCCAATTCCCACTAAAATAAAGGCCTTCTCCACCTCCAATTCCACTCAACACCACCCCCTCTACCAAAGAACATGTCTGCCACGGTTGCCTCCGAGTTGATAGTAATAGAAAAAAGCCTACCATATCGGACACAAAAAGGAGTTGTCGTACACCAAGAATCCTTCCAAAAAGAGGTGTTTCGCCCATTACCCAAAACTCGTACACACATTGTAGAAAACCAATCCCAAGAGATACCATCACACATATCAATACTCCACAGATCTAGCCACCACCTGGACACACTACCCCTTCTACCTTCCAAAGTCAAGGATGGCACTCCATATAAAGATGTTAACACTTTATTCCACAACCTATCTCTCTCAACTAATAGTCTCCACCTCCACTTCCCTAATAGAGAAAAATTGAAAGCTCTCAAATCTCTCAAACCTAGTCCCTCATACTGTTTTTCTCGACACACATCAGCCCAAGAGACCCAAACTAATTTCCTATGTTCATCATCCCCTCCCCAGAGAAAATTTGAGAACAAAGATTCAAGATGAGAGATGATTCCTTTGGGAGCCTTGAAGAAGGAAAGAAAGTAGATCGGGATGGAGTGGAGCATAGATTTCAAGAGCACAAGCCTACCACCGAAGGACAACAATTTGCTCTTCCATTTTGATAACTTTTTTTCCACCTTCCGCACCACGGGCTGCCAGGTCGTCAAGTGAGCAGGATTAGCTCCAAGTGGTAATCCTAGATAAGAGCACGGGAAGGACCCAACTTTGCAATTTAGAAACTGAGCCAAAGACTGCAACCAAACCTGGTCAACGTTAACACCCAAGAGCTGACTTTTGAAGAAATTAACCTTGAGACCGGCTATTAACTCAAACAGCTGTAGAATAGCTTTAAAAGCCCAACCATTACTCAGAGTAGCATCGCCCACTAGGATAGTATCGTCAGCATATTGTAGATGTGATACCGGCACTGCATCCCCACCAACCATATAGCTTGTAAAGACACATTCTTGCACTGCTTTAGACATCAAAGAGGACAAACCTTCTGCAGCAATCAAATAAAGAAAAGGAGCCAGTGGGTCTCCTTGTCTCAACCCTCTACCAACTCCAAATTCACTAGATGGACTTCCATTCACAAGAACAGACACTCTAGCAATGGCTAAACACTCTGTTATCCACCTCCTCGACAAAATTGGAAACCTCATTTTTTCCATAACAAACAAAATAAACTCCCAATTGACAGAATCATAAGCCTTCTCAAAATCAACCTTCAACATCAAGCATTGTTTTTTCTTTCTTTTTGCCTCTTCTAGAATTTCGTTGGCAATCAATACACTATCAAGAATTAGCCGTCCTTTTAAAAATGTTGATTGACTCTCAGAAATAACTTTCCCAACGACTTTCTTCATTCTATTTTCCAATACTTTTGCTAACACCTTATACATACATCCAATTAAGGAAATAGGTCGGTATTCCTCCACTTTTTGAGGATTATCAGTTTTAGGCACAAGAACCACAAAAGAGCTATTGGATCCTTTAACTAATTTCCCATTAGCATGAAACTCATGTAAGAAGGCCAAAAAATCAGCTTTAATATCATCCCAAAAATCCTTGATAAAAGTGAAATTAAATCCATCAGGTCCTGGACTTTTGGATCCTTCACAATCCCACACTGCAATCTTAACTTCTTCATCAGAAAATGGCAAGATTAAGGTTGTAGCATCTTCGTCTGACAATGTTTTAAAGTTGGTACCTTGAAGTCGAGGTCTAGCATGCAAACACTCACGAAAGTGCCCTTCAAAAAAGCCTTTGACTGCCTCTTTTATTGTCGAAGGCTCATTATACCTTTCATTGGCCACCTTCAAGCTTCGGATCTCATTTTTTAACCTTCTACGATTGATACAGGCATGAAAAAATTTTGAGTTAGCCTCTCCTGCTTGCAACCAATTAAGACGCGACTTTTGAAACAACAGATTATCCTTAAGAGTCAATGATGCACACAACTGAGCTCTCCACTCCTTTCTTTGTACAACTTCATCTTCTTGTAGATTAGAATCTTCACTCTTAAGATCCAGCATGTTAACAATATTCCGAGCCTCATTTATTTTCCTGTCTAAACAACCAAATGTCTCTTGATTCCACCGACGCAATCTACATTTTAAGAGCTTGAGTTTCTCCTTTAGTACAAATGCAGCCCTCCCCTCCACATTTAACTCTAAAAGGCTTTGGACCCCAATTGATATCTTCATTTTTCAACAAGATAGCACAATGATCTGACACACCTCTACTAAGGCCCCATTGTGTTGTATGTGGCCAATGAGACAACCAAGCATTTGAAACTAAGAATCTGTCTAATCTGCTCATACACTTTCCATCTGTTTTGTACCATGTATATTTTCTCCCTACTAGCGGTAAATCCACCAACTCAGCCTCAGTAATAAATTCATCAAAGCACTTCATATCATCTTCTCTCCAGTAGGAACTCACCCCTCTCCTCTCCCCCTCAACCCTTACAGCATTAAAATCACCTCCTACACACCATAAATCACCTCCACGACTCCTCATCACCTCCACTAGGCACCGCCACAGCTCTTTTTTCCTTTGCAGGTCGCAGGGAGCATATATGTTTACAAAAGAGCATTCAAGATTATTTTCCCCCCACAACGCTTTCACACCAATAAAATGATCCCCAGAAAAAGACTCAGTCATTATAAATTTGTCTTTCCGCCATAAAGAAAAAGACTCAGTCATTACAACTATAATTATAATTAAGGGGCATTTATTTATATATATATTTTTTACAATATCAAGTATCATAACTTAATCACAATTGCAAGATTTGATTATAAATACCCAACTTCAAAAATCATGTTTTTTTTTTTTTTTTTTCATTTTTACATGATTGAACCTAACCCAAGACTTATCCCTTAATCTTACCTAACCATAATACTTGATTCATCTAAGCCCGTTAATAACAGAAGATTACACTTGATCATATACAATAAAAGCTACATTTGCATTCTTGAACTTCACTTCAACAAACCTACCAATTAGCATTGTAACAATGTTTGAAAACTTCCTTCATTCTCTTGTCATTAAAATTAATCCTAGAAGTTATGCCTATATATTTACATCATACAATGATCATAGTTGGAAAGGAGATGACGTATTAGCATCACACAATGATCAACAATGCAATTGTTGTTGTGGTTAAACAAATATATAACTTCTTTGTTTATGTTTAAGCTATATGACGGATGACATTAGATTTTCCCCCCTTCAATTTTTGAATCTGAAAACTCCACATCTATTATAAAAAGAAATGACCAAGAAAACACAATTATATTTCACTTGGACCTTAAACTATATTGATGTTATTATATCATTGTAACATGATTATTAGACAAACATGAGTAATGCATGTCTTTTTGAAATTGTTATCACGCATATTGTTGCTTTTATAACAATTAATTAAGAAAAAAATATATGCTCCGATAGTAAATTTTTTAATGTTATTTAACCTTAAAATATTATGAATATTAAGTTTTGTTGACTTCGATAATAATTACTTATAATTTTTATTTTAATAATAATTATCTAAAAATTATATAAAAAAATTACTCTCTTCATCCTACTATAAGTATCATATAAGTAGAAAAATTAAGTATGAAAATAAGCGTCATTCAACTTTTCAAGTTTTGATGTTGCATTAATTATATCCTTTTCTTTGTATATCTAATAATATGTTTTAAAAAATTATCATTGTATTACATCATTTATAATAAATAAAATTAATAACAAGGTTATTCTTTATAAATTTATCATTGTATTGCATCATTTTCTTGGTATCTTATAACAAGAAACCTAGTACCACACTTATTATGTTATAAAAAGTATGTATCTCCTTTATTCGTTAGTGTGTAGTAAAATGTTATTTTTATTTATTTATTGTTTTCAAAGTTTAAAACCATATTAATTACTTTCTACTCATCTTATCTAATTTTTAATTAATTTATATATGGAGAACTAAAATATATTTATTAAAAAATAAAAATGAAAAATAATATAATAAAAAAATATTAAAATCATTTTATAAAAAAATAGAAAAATTTATTGTATTTATTAATTTGTGTATAACAACTTTAAATAAATGTGTATTGAAACCTAAAAATTTTGATTGGATAAAGTAAAAACAATATCTATTTCAATCTATTTTAATAAAAAAATCAGCACTAAAATCATTAAGAACTAAATCTAAGTGGATAAGTGTTAAGAACACAATTTCTAACATACTTCTTTTAACACACTCACTATTATTAGTTTCTTTTTTTCTTTTTAAATTTGAAAGAATTAATAAATAAAATGTCAGCCCTATTAAATATTTTGTTTTTCAATAAATTCAACTAATGAAAGAATATGTGTTTAAAAGAGTATAATAAAAATGTGTTGTTAACATTTCTCATCTAATAAAAAGTGTTAATAACATATTTTCTTCAACAAACTCACTTTTATCAATTAAAATTTATTAAAAATAATAAAATTAAGAGAGAAATAATTATTAATAAAAGGTGAGATCAACTAAATTTTTATATTTTTTTAATAAATTTAAACTTAATTAAAAAGAGGTAGAAGGGTATGAAGATGTTTGTTGTCATGTGGAGAGTGTGAGAAAGTGAGGTACATGGAGGAAGAAAAAGAGAGTTGAAGCAAGGTTGAGTTTCACTAACCTTGTAAAAGCATAGGCTTTTCCCCAATTCGGAGCTGAGGCATAATTTAGAGTTGAAGAAGATGGAGGAAGAGCCCCCGATCTACCGACTCCCCCACGACACCCTCCACCAGATCTTCTCCTCCCTCCCCCTCCGCCAGATCATCCTCTGCCGCTCCCTCTCCAAATTCTTCCTCCACCTCCTCTCCACCCCCTCCTTCCTCCACCTCCTCTCCACCACCCTCCCCCCCCCCCCCCCCCCCCCCCCCCCCCACCCCCCCCCCCACCACCACCACCACTCCCCCCTCCCCCTCTTCGACCCCGACCACAACACCTGGCTCCACTTCCCCCTCGACTTCCTCCCCTTCCACTCCCCCCTCCCCGTCGCCTCCTCCCCGGGCCTCCTCTACCTCTGGGCCCAACCCCAACCCCAGGCCCAAGCCCAAGCCCAAGCCCAAGCCCATCCCACCAACACCAACACCAAATCCCTCCTCGCTTGCAACCCCCTCACCCGCACCTTCCGGCTCCTCCCCCACCTGGGCTCGGCCTGGTCGCGCCACGGCACCGTCCTGGTGGACTCAAACCAGCGCGTGATGGTCCTAACCGAACTAGCCGCTCTCTACTGCCAGCCACACTCAACAAAGTGGCTCAAATTCTCCTCCAACCTACCTTCGAAGCCTCGTAGCCCTCTCCTGATGAACGACTCCGCCTACGCCCTCTGCGACGTCGGCTCCCCCTGGCGCAGCCACTGGAAGCTCTACACGTGCCGCCTCGCCGCCGCCTCCGCCTCCCCCTGGCACCGCCTCGACCGCCCCCACTGGGGCGACGTCCTCGACGTCCTCCGCCGCCCCCGCCTCGTCCGCGGCCTCGGCAACCGCATCCTCATGGTCGGCGGCCTCAAGTCCTCCTTCGCCCTCAACGCCCCCTGCTCCACGCTCCTCGTCCTCCGCCTCGACCTCGACACGCTCCGCTGGGACGAGGCTGCGCGCATGCCGCACGACATGTTCAAGTGCTTCCGCGACTCCACCAAGTTCAAGGCCTTCGGCGCCGCCGACCGCGTCTGCTTCTCCGCCAAGCGCATCGGGAAGCTCGCGCTCTGGGACCGCCACGCCGCCGACGGCGTTGAGTGGCGCTGGATTGATAACCTCCCTGGGAATGGCGACGGGCTCTACCGCGGGTTCGTGTTCGAAGGGAGGCTCAATGCTGTGCCCTGACTCAGGATTTAGGGTTTATGCTTCGAAATTGGTAATAATGTGCTTAAGCTTAATTAATGTTGTTCCTGGTTTTTTTTTTATCAATGTTGTTGTAATTGTATTGTACCATTTGTTTCTCAATGCAAATTTTGACTGATTTGTAGAATTTTGTTTCTGGAGTCTGCACACACCAATACTGGCTTCCTATATATGATGTTCTTATATGTTTTGTTGTTTCCTTCCTCAATCTTGGTAGATTTTGCTGTTATATACTTGTATTGGTGTCTTTTGTATTGAAAGTTGAAATGCTGGAACAGAATGACACCTCAATAGCTAGTCATTCTAGTAAACTATTTGTAATTTAAACAGAAGTGTGGGATAGTAAAGAATGCTTTAATTTAGTGAAGACTGGTAGAGTTATAGGGTCATTGTAGTTCCTATCACTTTAAGGGATTTAGTTTTTTATGTGGGTTTCTGCAGGAAAGTCTTGATGGGGTGGGACTCTGGTACTGATCCAGAGGTGGATGGTCATGAATAAGAAAAGGGTGAGTTTTGTGAAGGAAGGGTTGTATGGCTTGAACACAAAAGCCTAATTTTATGTAGGTTTTAGGAAGTTAGCATTGATCTGTGGTAAACAAGGAGAATCTTGCATTATTTGAATGACCAGTTAAGCACATTCCCTTCCAAGTTAACTGCAAACTTAATTTATCATTTCCTGATGGATTTTGAATGGCATGACCTTGGATGTGAGTCTTCTATTGGTTTATTCTTTGTTAGAATGATCTAATCATTGAAATAAAAGTTCAAGCCCTTTCAACCCCATGTTTTGCACCACTTATTCTGAAGTTATTGGCTAGCTCTACTATGGAATTAAATTAGATTGCTTGTTCATAGTTGAAAGCATGATTCTCCTATAGGCAATTTATGGCTCACTTCAATTTTTCGCATTTTGCAAAGACAATTACCTAAGGGAAAATGATTGCCCACAGTAATAACTCAATTATAAGTCTAGATATGTGCCATGAACAATTTTTCTTTCTAGCATTGGGCACCCAAGAGTTTTCAGCTCTCTTACACTAGAAGTTTGCATTTAAGAAACTGAGCCTGTTCCTCCATCTGTTAAATTTCAGCACGAGATTTGAAGTCTTGGCATAAGATATAAAAGAATCTGTGGAAGTTTGGTATGGATTTATAGAAAATTGATGTAGGAATCAATTTGGTCTTTGTGGTTACATGTTTCATATGTGTAATGTATATGAGATTGTTAATACGACAGAGATTAGCTGTTGTAATCATAATAAATTTTCTTTAACTTGATGCATTTCCCATTAAGTTTACTTCTTCAAACTTCAAAGCTGAAGTTGAATACAAAGAGTAAACAACATTTCTAGCAGTAGAAGTATGAATTTGATTTAGGATTTGTTTGAATAAATTTTTCCAAAAGTACTTCTAGGAGTTTTTTCATAAGCTAAATTAGCTTATGGATATAGCTAATTTGTAAAAGCTCTCTCATGTAGCTTTTCCAAAAAATTAGAAATTAGCTTGTGCATGAGTTAGTTTCAGTTTATGGAGAAATTTGTTTCATTTTTCCTTACTATTTTGTTCTCCCATAAGTGTTCCTAGAGGAGTTTACTCAAACAAGCCCTTAGCCTTTTTGAGAATCTGAATATAAGCTTTTATAATACGTGGAGAAATTTCAACTTTAGTTAGTCTTTAACATGTGGTCAAAAGATGTGCTTGAACATATCTTATAATGGACCTATTTGGATAAACTTCTCTTGAAGCATTTAAGGGAGAAATAAAATATGGAGGAAAATTGAAATAAGTTTCTGTATAAGTTAAAACTAGTTTATGTATAAGTTGATTTGTAATTTTTTGGAGAAACTATATGGAAAAAGTTTCTACAGATTAGTTTATGCATAAATTAGTTTTGATTTATAGAGAAACTTATTATATTTTTCTTTCCTAGAAGTGTTTTTGGAGAAGTTTATCCAAATAGATTCAATGTGTAACTGTTAGGCAAGGATTTTTTTCTTCATTCTGCTGCCCTGTCCTTATTTCTGCTTCCATATTGATAACCTTGCAATTTGTGACACAGAAACCTCTGTATCACTGTCTCTTTCTGCGAAGTTGTCTGAATAAATAAAAAAATGTCAAATTCTATCATATTGTACCTACAGTCGTACACCAAAGCAATTGTCCTCAAATTTATATCTAAATCCTTAGATGTGAACTTGTGACACTCTTATATTTATAATCCGGGCCTTTGACTGAAGGAATATCTGGAAAATATGTTATTATTTGTTACCACATTATTATTGGCCTAAAAGGAAAAATACCATCAAATGTTCAAGAACAGATATCTTTTTTATTTTATTTTATTTTATTTTAAATATTAAAAAAGGTGGACCGGAGATTACAATCATGCACCTAACAGTATGCAGGGGCCATAGATTGCACCACTGAGGCTGGCATAGAAAGGTTCTCCCCTTATCTCCTTGGCCTCATTCTTTGGTCTTACTTTATTGTTATCTTTGGGAATCACCGAGAAATATTTCTGGAGCAAACAGGAAAAAATAAAAAATAAAAATAAAGAAAAAGGAAGCTGTTTGTTTTTATATATAAAATAACATTTGCATTTCGTTCATTTTTTTTTTTTGGTTTCTTGTTCTGTTTTACTTTTAAATCCATAGAAATGGTATCTTAGTTAGTTCCAGCCTCTGGATAAATTAATTATGTATATCTTCTATGTTTACGATCTCAAAGGATGTATAATTCATAATAATTATATAATATGGAATATAGATAGTTAGGTAGAATAGTATTTGATGGTTACTAAATTATGTTGGGTCCTCCGCATCCAAACTGACGGGGTTGATGAGCTAAGATTCCTTAGAAGTTATGACTTCTTACCTCTGTCCCACCGAGATTGCTGGTGGGAACTTTAACTTAAATTCATTTCAGGCTTCAGAGTATGGAGAAAGCTGCTTTCTTTAGGTTTAGGTCACTGATTTTGTGGTTGTAAACAAGCTTCCAAGTTAGATCAGTTGTCAAGTGACATTTTTTTGGCAGCTTTCTTTAACAGCTTTACTCATATTGCTCAGGAGAATCTCCTTAACAAATCTAGCCTCCATGTCTGGATGCTTACTTGCTATTTGTTTCACATCTAGGATGCAGATTACTACCTTTCTTTCCAACTTTAGGGTCTATTTTGTAAGCCAGGTATATCCAACCAAGGATTTAAAAAATAAAGATTTAAAAGTATGTACTTCTTTGCACTACTGCTAGTGATATGTACCGTTATAAACACATTGAATAGTGAATATAAAGAACATCATTAAGGATTTTATAAAGAAAATTCTGCACATGAATTTTAAATAGAATCTGTATGTTTTCTTCTAATGAAATTAAAGTTCATTAGGAGATTTGCATTTACTGTATTGTATAATCATGATGGTATTTTCTATCCAAGAAAAAGGAATAGAATCATGATGTCTAACCTATGACTAATAGAAGTGAAGAATATCATGAAAGAGAATGTTTTTAATATAGTGAAGGAAAATTAGGGTTGTACAACGTGATGCGGAGTTTCTGTAGAATTTAAGCCGTTTGGGAAAAAGTAGGGCCAAATTGTTATATAATTGCTTATCTTGAAGACCGCAAAATAATTCGTAAGGAATTTCTTTGTATAATTTTGATGAACCACTGATTACACTTGGGAAAAATGCCAAGGCATCTTTTCTTAGATTGTGGATTGTGGACCTAATTTAACTCTATTAAATTTATTTATAAAGTGAGAGTTATTATTCTCTTATATCTTCTTTAATTATTTTACCTCTACTCGACATGAAACTTGAGTTTTTTCTAATGCCTTTTCACTCACAAACTCCTTTGGTCGTTTTTGAAACTATATTCTACTTCCATATCTAGAGAAGGAGCATTAATGCACAATGATAAAGCTTTTGTTGGAGGTTGGCTTGTATCTTAGAAACTGTTTCTTTGCGTGTGGATATAAGATTGTGTACATTTATGACTTATCAGCCAAACTTTTAGGATAAGATTGCACATATTCCCTAAACTTCACCAAGTGAGAAAGCCTCATGTATTGAGTCACCTTTTTTTTTTCTTTCTTCTATTTACAAATTTTACCCCATAAACATTTAGCATTTGACCCTAGTGTACATTCTTTTGTGTTTCTGTTTATCAGAATAAAAACCTTTCGGTCATTAGTATTTTCCAATTACGTCGGTTATTTGAAATTGGCTATACTATACTAGTCTATTTCTGGTTGGCATTGGCAATGTTATGGAAAGGGATGGTTGGTGGAGATGGGAATGGTAGCATGAACATTTGGCGGTCAAATTGGGCATTTTAGAAACAGCATCTTTGATGGCAAAAAAGAAAGAAAGTAACAGCATCTTTGAACAACGATGTTACTTATCTTTTTATTCTTATCATGATTCTTGTAAGCATCTGGAATGTGTGAATGTTTATCTGATATTGATTTGTCTTAGGTTTACTGTATATAGGATATGATTCCCTGTTGCACTCCCCGGTCGCAAATCTTCCACAAGTTTGAGAAAATACCACTGATTTTCTTGCTATTATTACGCTACTTGTGTAGTTTAAGTTTCACATCATAATTTGTGCTTTTTCACTTGATTTCACGATGTGTGATAAGTAAATGGTTTTAATGAATAAAAAGAGAACGGAGTGAGAGGATGGTGATGATTGGTATTGTATGAAAAATGTGATTTAAATGTGTCAAAATAGCTGGATGAGTGGCACGTGGATGAAAACAATAAAAAATATCATTTTTTTTATCCATTGAAGACTATCATGGTGGGTTGGACCTAATGGTTCAGTGGATTATTTTATTAATAATTAGAATAATACTAATTATAATTTATTTAAAAATTAAATAATGTATATAATTTCATAAATGTTTACATGACAGATTTATTGAGCAAAGACACTGTTCAAAATATATTCTAATTAGTTTTTACTATTGTATATAAGAAATGATCACAATATTTATTATAATAGCATAACAATGCAATATACTTATTAATTTTTAAGTATTTAATGTTTATTTTAATCAAATTTTACTATTATAATATTAGTTTATTATATCTCCAACTTTTACGACCTTTCAATAATTTTAATTTTTATTAGATATTTTATTTTAATGTTTTTAGCAGTTGAACAAATTATTTAGTTATTTATATTATAATGCTATAATTTGTTGTATTATAATAATATTACTTATTGTCGTCATTGAGAATTTAAGTATTTGTCACTCATTTTTATTTTTATTAATCATTTTATTTTTATATTATTTATCATTACAATATTGTATTAAACTTTTATTATTATAACAAGCATTTTATACCTAAGAAAATTATTTGATTATATTAAAGTATGTATTTTATTTAACATTAAAATGTATTTTTATTATATTAAGAATTTAATTTAAATGCACTATGACTTAATCACATTATGTAAAGTATTGATTTTTATACCTGATATGATTTCTGATTGAGTGTAATTTTTTTACTCAAAATAATTTTGTCCTAAAAGTGCATTAAAATAATCTCTTTTTTTTAATATTTTAAATGAAACATTCTTAAAAGCGCAAATACAAATATAATTAGTACAATAGATTATATGACATGTAAGGAGTTTTATCTTCACTTTTATCATTTAGATTAAGTTACATTGTAAAAAATGATTTTTTTTTTTAATTTTTGGACTGAAACTATGGAATACAAAATAAAAATAAAGTGAAAGTAAAAAAAAATCAATTGTTAATTTTCTTTCTAAAAATGATTAAAAGTAATCGGCTAATGGGTTGAT